GCTGTTTGTGACACTTGATAAACGTGCACTGCTCCAGGGAACCTTGGCTTTATTTGCTTTCACTGGTATACACAAACATGCATGTCTTTCCGTCTGTCTCTCTGCCTGTGTGTGTGTTTGTCTTTCCATCTGCTTGTCTCTCAGTCTCAGAGAGCAGTTTGTAAACCAATAGGTATTACAATGCAGTAGTCACATCTGATTCATGATGAAGTGAAAATGCATATTACTTGCCACTGAGTTGCCAGCCATGCCAGCCAGACAGCCGAATACATATTACACGTGTTCCAGAATCTTTTCTCTTTACTTAGGGCATAGGTTATAGGACATTCTGGCAGGATGACACTACCAATGGTATCAAAAATGAAAGCATGTTGCACAGATGTTAAACATGGGTTATTATCAAGATTTTTTATATTTCCACAACAATTTGTGGCCACATCCATCTCTTTCCTCTTAAAAGGGGAGTGTTAATATGACAGGACATCTGTGAATCCCTGGTATTTGCCATGCTATTTGCTCTAGCTGGCACTCAAATTGGTGCTCCCGCAAGATACTAAGTGATCCCAGATTTTTTTAATACTGTGCACACCGGGTGTTAAGACCCATTATATATTGACCAGGCATCTCAGGCCAATCACACCAAATTTGCAGGCAGGAAAAATAAGACAGACCTATGTTTGGAGTGCTAGCACAATACAAACACAGATCTACACTTGGACAGTTTAACCCTTAAACTGTCCAAACGTAGATCTACATTCACTTGTGTATCGCTCCAATTTTGAAATATAAAAAACCTGTTTTTTTTTTTTTCTTTTAAAATGATGAGCCCATTTTTCTACATGTTATAGGATTAAAAAAAAATTTAGGGTCAGTACTTGCCGAGATATAAGACCGTGAAGGTGGCTCTGGATGCTCACCTGTCAGCAACATCGACTCCTGCCACTTGCAGAAGTGTTGCCGATATACCTTTTTTTCTCGTTTATATTTTAATTTATATATTTTTTATGTTCTGATAATTACAATTTATAATAGTTCTTGCAATTTCATAGCCCATCTTTGTTCTGACACTAACATTAGGTACTGAAATAGTGCTCAAATAGTCACAATCACATTGACAGGTGAACATTTACACCTGCTTGGGTTATTTACTATTCTCTACAAATATATACAAAGTAATGTTTTAGATACCCTGGTGTATACCTTGAAGCATGGTGTTATGAAAGGCATCCTTACACTGTTGACAGCCCGGTGACATTTGATAAATGCCCACTGCTCCAGCTAACCCTCGCTGTATTTGTTATCACTGTTACACACAAACATGTCTTGTCTCTATTTATCTGTCTGTCTATCTGCCTGTCTGTATCTGTTTGCCTGTCTATCTGTTATCAGCTCGGTGACATTTGATAAATGGGTGCCCGGAGGAACCCTGGCTTTATTTGTTTTCAATGATACACACAAACATGTTTTTATCTGTGTCTATCTTATCTATCTGTCTGTCTATCTTCGCCTGGAATTTTTGGATTATCCTAAGTAATTTACACTATGTATAATAACTGTACTTATGTGTACATGTGACACAGAGATATAGACAGAGAGACAGCCAAAGCATGCCAGCTGGCCAGCCTGCCAAATACATAAGAAGGAACACTGCAGCACGCCTACTGGCCCATGTAAGGCAGGTACATATCACCCTCCCACCCCGGCTTAGACCAATGACCCACCTAGTCAGGTCGCATCCAGTGAAGGAAGGAGCATGACATCAGACTTGGTAGCACAAGCTAGTCAGGTCCAACTCACACTCACCCACACTCACTCATATATTTATCTAACCTATTTTTACTTTCCTCTTAAAATGGGAGTGTTAATGCGACATGGGATCAGTGAATCCCTGGAGTTTGCCACGCTATTTGTTCTGACTGGCACTCAATTGAACTGGTGTTCCCACAAGGTACTAAGTGCTCCCAGATTTTTTTAATAATGAGCACAATGAGTGCACAGACCCATTCTTTCACGTCTAAGCGACTAAAGCCTATTGTGCCAAATTTGGAGGAATGAAAAATAAAACGTAGATCTACGGTTGGACAGTTCAAGGGTTAATGATAAGCAGAAAGTTACTCAATGAACGCAACATGACAGATTCATTCTTTAACCCTTTCAGGGTCCGTCCCGTACGACTTTATGTTTAGGGTCCAAACCGTAGATCTACACCATGAGCTCAGCTCACTTTGATAAACTGTGAGTGGTAAATTTGGGCCTAGATATGAGAGAATACATCTATGTGGTATGTGTGCACCACATAAAACAAATTCTGCAGCATACTGTGTATATCGAGAGAAAAAACACTGAGACCGTGATTTTCGATTAAAACAATGACTTTGCAGCGTTTTTCGTATGTTTTTTTTATAGTTGTATTTGGGATTTCTTGGTCTCATTTGAGAGAATGGAAGACATATTACAGAAATAGAGATGATTTTGATTGGTTTTAGCACTGGAAATGGCTTGAAACTGAGCTCAAACTAGCGGAAATGTAAAATTTTTGCCGATGCTCAAGAGTAAACAAACGACTTCACACGTCTAATACACGCCAGCTGGTGGGTCTAATATACATTCACAAATGTGGTGATGATATTTATACAATTATTACAATATTGCATAACAGTAAATCATCTATTTTTTGGTCTGAATAAAAATTCATTATGTGAATTAAAAATCAAAATGGAATTCATTTGTCAAGTCTGAAAACGTAACTAATGAACAGAGGAAATGTTAGTTTAGTGCCAGGAATGCCTGCATTGTTTATTCTGGACCCTATTTTGAAATTGGAATATTTTGAACTTTGCACTAAATTGGCCAAATTACCAATAACTTTCTTTTGTAGTTGAAACAGTTGACTTGACGATTTCTTGTGCTCAATCGATAGAACAGAATTAATTCTAGTGAAATAGCTAAGAATTTGGTTGACTGGAATAAGGTAATTGGCCTCAAATGGGAGTCAAAGTCGGCAAAATTGCCAATGCGTAAATATCGCTGACACATCAAAATTCGCAAGAGCATAATTTCGTCAATTTTCCATCAAATTTCATACTTTTTGTTTTATTACCTTCAGAAAAAGATTCACTACCGTTTCACGATAAAAAAATAACATAATTATTTTTTGAAAATTCTTGGACCCTGGTGCACACTTCGAAATTTGGCCTCTGCACCCTGAAAGGGTTAAGATAAAAAAAAAATTTTTATGATACTTCTGGGTGTCTGGAACGAATTAATTGGATTTACATTATTTCTTATGGGGAAAATGGTTTTGCAAATTGTCAACTTCAATATTAGTCACACACTCTGGAACGGATTAATTATGAAAACCGAGGGTCCACTGTACTTTATTTTAAGACTTTTTTTTTTTTGCACAAAATAACCCTCAAAAATTTACCCAGTGCCTTGGATGCAGCAATACCGTTAATCTTTTTTTTTTTTTTTATCAAAATTTTAGTCACTCAGAATTGGAGGGGCATCCTCGACACCGGAGCATCTTGTTCTCTATAAAATACAGTACAGTCCCAGAAGGCAGCAATACTGTGCTTACACATATAGTTACTTTTTTTTCACCTATTAAATGACTAGCATATAAGGTAAGCAAAAAACTCCTGCAATGTTTTTGCTTTGAGGCACTAAATTCATTTATAGAAGCTAAACCATTAATTTTCTGTCATGGCATTTCTTCAAACACACACACAATGTACTGTGTTTTTGTCCATCCTTGGTCAAGTTATTCAACAACAACTTTCCCCTATCACATTAGGTTGGGATAATGTAGTTATCTGCATTTCTATAGTAATAAAGTCATTTTCTTTGCCTCATTTGCTACCATTGAATGTTACCAAATCAAATTCCCTGCCACAATACAATGTGGTGACAAAATTCAATACAAAAATACAGTGTACAGAAAAAAATAACTGAACAATCTGCAACCCATTTTACTTACAATTTCATAAGCTTCTAAAAAAAACATGAAGCTATGAATATTGCCTGTTACATTAGCTTAATAATATACAGTAAACATTTACTCCAGCATTGGATACTAAAGTGTAATCTGAATCAAGATATCAGAACACATTAAAGAATAAGGGCTACAATACATAAGATAACCCAAATATTAAATTCCAGGTAAGACACTGGTAGCAAACTGGTTTTATATATTTTAACAAAAATTGAATTACAAGAATTTTCTCTCTAGCCTGTGTCTCATTATCTTTTCCCATAATTAATTAGCTTTTGCTTTTTATCAAGCAACATTTTCTTGAAACTAAACGAACTTTTCAAGTCTTATCAAGCAATACTATACTTTCTAAATACTATGAAAACAATATTGCAAACTGCTCAATATTTTACCTATTAAAGGGAGGCTTGCCATCATAATGTATTTTATTATTCGTCTTAAGATCATAATGGGAACCACTAGAGTAAAATTTTCAAATTCAAGAAAAAGAGTACAAAGATGATGCCAAACCTAAGCTTTTCAAAGTTCCAGACTACATGGTTTTAAGATGATAGTTGGGCTGTGAATTTATAATGCTTATTTATCATGAGAGAGCTTCCTTAAGAAAATGGGTCAGTCTAATGCAGAGACAATACTACAATCTAACATATGAAAAATTAAGATAATAAACAAAATCATGATTAGAAATTTTAAATACAATATACTTTTAAATTTCATGTAGGCCTATTAGCCAAACAACTGAGTTTTCAATGAATTTGACTGATTATGTTTATTTTCTACATGAAACTTTAAATCCAAGTTTTTATTAGAACGATAGGGACAAAATGGGCATGAATATCGCTGCTCTCTAGTGTGGATACGACAATGTTCATTTAGAGTACTACTATCCTTTGTACGAAAAGTACAGTGAGGGCAAGCATAAGGTCTCTCTCCAGTATGAGTACGTATGTGTTTCTTGAGATCGTAAGAATCACGACTAACATGCCCACAATACGGGCATCCAAACCTCTGTGTCTTCCTATCTGTCTTATACAGTGTTGAAGGTGGCAGCGTACTGTTCAATCCAACGCCTCTCTCATGGCACACCTAGAATAAGATAAAGGACGTTACCACCCCAACTAAACATTGTAACCCTTAACTCTATTAAAGGACCTGATGCAATCTCATATTCTAGCAATGAGCATGAAAATTTAATTTTGCAAATTTTCTTCTCGGATCACTGGATATTTCTCTTTAAAACAATTCCTCAACCCTTTGACTGTTTTGGTTGTACATATACGTCTTACGAGCCACCGTGTTTGATGTATATATACTCATAAATTCTAGTGGCTTGAAATCAAGCAGAAGAGAGCTGGTAGGCCCACATGTGAGAGAATGGTTCAATGGGTCTGTGTAGTCAGTGTGCACCATATAAAAAAAATCCTGCAGCACGCAGTGCATGAGAAAAAAAACTTGACTTTTTTTTAATTAAAATGCCGACTTTGTGGTCTATTTTAGTATAGTATTTATGGTTGTGTTCTCGTTTTCTTGGTCTCATTTCATAGAATGGAAAACATATTATAGAAATAGAGGTGATTTTGATTGGTTTTACTATGAAAAGAACCTTGAAATGGAGCTCAAAATAAGGGAAATGTTTCATTTTTCCCGATGTTCAAAAGTAAACAAATGATGACATTTTCCAATAAATGTCCAAGTAGCCATTCTAATATGCAGTCATAAATGGGTTGACATTAATTATACAATTATTACAATATTGCAGTATTCTGCATAACAGTAAATCTTCTATTTTTTGTTTGAATAAAAATTCAAAATAGAAAGCAAGAGTAATATCAGAGAGGCCTGGAGACGTGACTGATGAACAAAATTCAAAATAGAAAGCAAGAGTAATATCAGAGAGGCCTGGAGACGTGACTGATGAACAAAGAAAATGTTATTTTAGAGCCAGGAATGTCTGCATTGTTCATTCTGTACCCTATTTTGAAATACTCACTTTTTTAATTTTAGTGAAATTGGCCAAATTGCAAATTTCTGACCACATTATTGGGTAGTTGAAATAGGTAAATGGGCAGTTTCTTGTACTCAATCGACAGAACAAATGGAGTTCTAAAGAAGTAGCTATGAGTTTGGTCGACTGGAACAATGGAATTAACCGAAAATACGGCTCAAAGTGGGGGAAATCACCAATTCGTAAATATCGCCGAGGTTGCTAACTTCATGAGAGTGTAATTCCGTCAGTGTTCCATCAAATTTCGTTCTTTTGGTGTCATTACAAACGGGAAAAGATTTTCTATCATTTCGTAAGAAAAAATTTTTTTTTTCTTTCGGAAATTTTGTGACACCAGGAGACACCTCAGGATTTGGGGTTGCGACAGTCAAGAGGTTAATGGTTGTGAGGATTACAGAGACTGAGAATCAGATTATACTGTTTTTCATGTGTTTGTGACAATGAAAATATTGTTTTCACATTTAGCTGATGTTGGTACATGTTAGCGAGAGAAGGCATTTTTCAATGATTTTGAAGATGCTGGCTGAGAGAGAGTAGCACTGGAGATTTCCAGCAGAGTTCCCAATTTTTGGCCCTTTTATGTACAATGAATTTTTAAAAAAAAAAATGAAGCTGGACACAGGTTATTCATAAAGAGTTTTGTGCTTGGTATTACTAGGTCTGTAGGCCCTGCTGCAACTACGAATAAAGAGCTTCAGGATAGGATTAATATTAGAATTTATTGGTCTGTGAATGCTGGATGCACAGTAGTAAGAATGTTTTGTATAGTGAGCAGGTTTAGGGAGAGAGAGAGAGAGAGAGAGAGAGAGAGAGAGAGAGAGAGAGAGAGAGAGAGAGAGAGAGAGAGAGAGAGAGAGAAAGAGAGAGAGAAAGAGAGAGAGAAAGAGAAAAGAGAGAGAAGAGAGAGAGAGAGAGAGAGAGAGAGAGAGAGAGAGAGAGAGAGAGAGAGAGAGAGAGAGATGAGAGAGAGGAGAGAGTGAGAGAGAGTGGAGTGAGTGAGAGTGTGTGAGTGTGTGAGTGTGTGTGAGTGTGTGTGTGTGTGTGTGTGTGTGTGTGTGTGTGTGTGTGTGTGTGTGTGTGTGTGTGTGTGTGTGTGTGTGTGTGTGTGTGTGTGTGTGTTCAACTAATTATGGATGCAGAGGTCGAGACTCAGCGTGTTTGCACGAGTGTGCATGTGAGTGAGCGTGTGTGTGCGTGTACATGTGCGCATGTGAGTGCGCGCGTGTAGTCGCCTAGTTGTACTCACCTAGTGGTTGCAGGGGTCGAGTCTCAGCTCCTGGCCCCACTTCTTCACTGGCTGCTATTCAGTCATTACCCACTCCGTGAGCTTTATCATACTTCTCCTTAAAGCTATGTATAGATCCTACCTCCACTACATCACTTCCCAGACTATTCCACTTCCAGACAACTCTGTGACTGAAGAAATACTTCCTGACATCCCTGTAGTTCATCTGAGTCTTCAACTTCCAACTGTTGCTGTGTCCCATCTCTGGAACATCCTGTCTGTCCACCATGTCTATTCCTCTCAGCAGAGTGAGTGCATGACTGAGTGAGTGCATGACTGAGTGCGTGAGTGGGTGCATGAGTGGGTGCGTGAGTGAGAGGGGGGGTGGCAGCGGCGGTGACGATGATCATCATCATCTAGCAGTGGACTGTGTGATCATTCGTACTGCGGCTTTTTTGTTGAGTTATTATTGGCTTAAGTTAACTTGCTGTTGTGGATCACAAGGCATAAATAGTGGAGGTGAGGTAGGGGTAGATCGCTGAATAGTATAATGCAAGTAGTGTTGTTTGTGATACATAATAACATATAATACTTAGCTGGACATTACCTGCTCTGCTCCCAAACAGAATGTAGAAGTACTTATGGCAGTGTGCAGATTAAGAACTAGTCCCTGAAATGTCATCAATGCTAGTCTGCCCAGTGAATACTTTTCAAATGCTTTGAGATATCCTCACTAGTTTAGATGTTTTATTAGTTCCATGTGAGAAGTGCTACCTCGTTCTGCCCTGAAATATACTATGAGCACAGAACATTGGTCAAAATATTAAAGCATATTAATTCAAACAGTACCATTACTGATATAACTGATCTTGTTTTGAAGGTTCTCTCAATTAATTGTATAATTTTCCTCACCTTCAAAGAATTTGCTGTATTATTCCTAACCTGTCTCTATCAATCAATATCAAGTTTTAGTTTCAAATCAGCCAAGCTATGGTACCTGCTTTGCACTGCATGAATAAGTACCAACAGCCTTGTTGATCAGGTTGTCAACCAGGAGACATGGTTAAAAAACTGGGCCACACGAATGGGGACCCTTGGAATAACCCATAAAAATTTGTGCTTGTTTTCTGTTTTCAATTCTTCCCATATCTAAGTAGTTTAAATTTGTCACCACTGAACTTCATGTCATCATTTGCCCACTGGAAGGCTTTGTTGATGCAGCATCTGTTTATAAATCTTCTATACAGTATCTACCACTGAGAAAGCTTCCATGTGTTGCAACCCCTGAATGGGTTGACATGTATATTATGTATATATTACATGTGTATTACCTTTTCATATAATTTTATATTGCTTATATTTGAGATAGCTAAATCGTAAAAATATTGCTTTATATTACTATTTGACTTAGTTATGTTGTTAGGTAGGACGTAATACATGTATTATGTGCTCAAAGCTCAAGTCTTGATTGTCTAACTACTGTAATTATCGCTTGTGGCTCGTTTCCCTGCCGGCTTCTGTTGCTGAGCTGCAGCTGTCCACGGAGCTATCACGTGATCGAGGGGGGGCATCCTCACCTCGCCTGAAGTATTCAATCTGGTCTAGACTCTCTTGGTGGTTGGACGTATTCCAGACAAAGTGCCCTTGTTGGAAGATCGTCTCTAGCTTTCTTGTAGGTTCTGTGGGACTCTGTTCACAGAACATTGTATAGACTTAGTGATTTTCGACGTTGTACTGAGGTTGTGTCGCAAAGACACACTGAGCAACTCAGGTCCTGAGCTGTAGCTTCCGACCTAACTTGTACTGGTATCTGTGTACTATCACAGTCGGTGATTTTCTTATGCTGAACTTAGATTCAGTATTATGGGAGTTTTATGACTTTTGTGGAGGATCTGCTGATGGTCACTACTTAGCAGTAAGAATAATCACTAAATCCCATCCCTGGCAACACCCCCCTCCCCCCACTCTTCATAGATCTAAACTTACTCCCTGTTCAGTACATCCACACTTACTACTGTGCCATCTACATCTACAGGACCTTAAATTCCAATATTAACCTTGACCTAAAACGTTTTCTTGATAGTTGTGACAGAACCCACAGGCACAACACCAGACATAAACATCTCTATGACATTCCCCGTGTCCGACTAAACCTTTACAAAAATTCAATGTATGTCAAAGGCCCTAAAATCTGGAACACCCTACCTGAAAATGCTAAAACTGCAGACACATTCATCACCTCCAAAACTACCATCAGAAAACATCTTATCTCCCTGATACACCCTGTCAACTAATTACACGAATACCACCTGGTGGTTAACACTTTCACTCACCCATTTGACCATAAACAGAAATATCAATCTCAATCTCAAAATAATGAATCTTAACTAGTCATAAGTTGGCCTGTGATACTCCAATACTGAAACTATGTAGTGCCAAAACAAAAGCATTCACATTGCTAAACTCACAAACTAGTATTTAATCACTTAGCCATAATACCAGCTTACCTCATAATTTTGTAATACAGTGGTCCCTCGCTTTTCGTAGTTCTCGGCAATCGTAAATTTCGCCAATCATAGGGGTATTTTCATATAAACATGGACTCGCTTTTCATAGGTTGACTCGCGAATAGTAGTTCGTTCGGGACGCGTACGCACGGTGTGAGCCGGGGCGGCCTCCCTACCCAGCCAGTCTGGCATTGTTTACCAGCGAGTGAAGGTCCCCTCAAGTGCTCCTACGAAATATTTCATAATATTCCACTCATTTTAGTGCTTCCAATTACTAAATAAGCTACCATGGCTCCAAAGAAATCTCCTAGTGCCAAGCCTGTGGTAAAGAAGGTGAGAAATATGTACA